ACGCCGGAAAACAGTGTCCTTCTCAGCTCCTGGTGAGGATGAAGGGACCTTGGACAAGCCACTGGAATCGGCACCTTTGGGTCTCCTAGCCCCACCACCTCCTCCTCCTGTCCCCACAGAGGAAGCACAATCTCCATTAGTTCCTGTGGAACCCATGCTACCACCCCAAGTGTCCTTAACCTCAGATGCCCCAGTTCCAGTTATCTGCCCCCTGCCTCCCACGGCCTCCCCGGTAAAGCTAGTGGCTCCTCCCAGCCGCAGGCGGGAGCCGCCAAAAGCCAGTCAAAGGACAATCAGCAACCTGCCAGCAGACCACGCTTCTCTTGTGAAATGTTGGTCAGAGGATATGCCAACCGGTCGGTCCCGAAATCGTTCTCGCTCCCGAAGCTCAGAACATTTGAGGGTACCACAACCCCCAGAGGAAGATAGACTGCTCATACGCGAACAGATGGGGGCTTCCTCACTACTGGAACTGGCGAATCAGCCTGACCTGGCCGTATTGGCAGATGTGGCTCTCAAGATGCCCGCCGTTGCAGGTAGAGAAGATTTGGAGGAGACTTCAGATGTATCTCAGGAGCCGAAGCATCTGCTTCTGCTGCCTGTGTTATCCCTTGAAGTCAGCAGCATCTTCATGGAGCATAACTATACCATGGCAGTGCGTGCAGCACCAGTAACTGTCTCCCGGAAACACGATGAGGCAATGCTGCTTGGTTCTGCTGACCTGTTGCAGATGGACATATATAATGAGCACATTGGTGAGGTTCTGGAGGCTCCTGAGGAGATCGTGGCAGATGCCAGTGAAGTCAGAACTGAATCTGAAGTGGGCGATTTTGTAGCACTGGCACCTCCACCTCCCCAATCTCTTGAAAAGCCTAAGGTAACTGCTGTCCCAGAGCAGCCGCCGCCACAGAAGAAACCTCCACATGGCCTAAAGGAGGAGGCCGTAAAAGATCCAGGAGCATTACTTTTTGGCCCAGAGAGTCTGTTCCCTTCTGAGAGTGAGGAGGAGGAGGAAGAGGAAGAGGATGACGAGAGCCTTGACAGCAGTGACGAAGGGGAGATTCGTAGGAGATCTCTGCGCTCTCATTCGCATAAGCACACCCCTGCCCAGCCCCCACTTCCGTCCCCAGTCTATGAGACACGCAGTGAATTTGAACAGATGACAATCTTGTATGACATCTGGAATTCAGGGCTAGATTTTGAAGACATGAAATACTTGAGGCTGATGTATGAGCGCTTGCTGCATGAGGACAATAGTACAGACTGGTTGAATGACACTCATTGGGTCCAGCATACCAATATCCTTCCTCAAATATGTGTTAGATTTGTGGGTAGGCTCTGGCTCTCCTGAACTTGTTTTGAAAGGATAGCAAACCTGCACTTCCCAGGTGTGTCTGCTACAGTTTTCAGTGTTCTTTAGCAAAGGCCAGGCTGGGAATTGTAGTTCAGCATCTGTACACCTTCTCTATCCCACTTTAGCACTTTTTTTATCATACCATCAGCAGAAATTTCTGGGTATTACATTTTGTTGAGTTCTCCTGGGAATCCTCTTGCACATTCTAGTCCTCTTCCTTCCTTTCCGTCAAAGATTTGCAATTCTCTA